TCTCTTTTTCATGTTTTAACTCTACCTTCACCTCATTTTCATCTACATGCTTCTTATCAATCTTCTCATTCTTCTTGTCTCCTTTCATGTCTTTCGTCTTTGGTAGTTCTTCCTCTGAATCCCCTGATTTCTCTTTTTTGACTTTCTTATCTTTCTTAGATTCATTCTTCTCAGACCATACAACTACATCCTTCTCCTTTTTTTCACCTTCAACTTCAGACTTCTCATCTTTTTGTTTCTTCTTCAATTCTTTCTCCTTCTTCTCTTCTGATTTTCCCTTTACTTTTCCATCTTGCTCATTCTTGTTCTTCCACTCCCTTTCTTCATCATTCTTTTTTTTCTTCTGGTCCTTGTCATCTTTTTTGTTCACTTTTCCATCTTCAGACTCTACCTCTACACTCCTGTCTTTCTTCTCCTTCTTCTTGTCTCCTTTCTTGTCTTTTTTCTTATCCGACTCTTCATCTGATTCTTCAGCTGTGTCATCTTCATTATCGGCTGCCTTTTTCTTCTTTTCAACTTTCTTCTCCAACTTATTTTTCTTTTCATTTGCGTTCTCCTTCTGTTTTCCATCCTTAGAACCATCCTTAACCTCATCTTCCTTCTTTTTCCTTTTCTTATTGTTATCATTATCAATCACCTGCTGCTGCACTAATTCTTCTTTTTGATCTTCAGTCTTTGGGTACTCCTCTTGCTCCTTAATTTTCCTTTCGTGACCTTGTTTATTATCCTTCTCAGCACTCTTCGCTTCCTCTTCTCGTTCCCACTCACATGGATCACCAGCACTCTTCTCCTGTACTGTACTCTTTATTTCTTCATCTTCTTGTTCGCGTTTATTACTCTTTTCCACTTTCTCCGTTTCTTCTGCTCCAACATGTATCGGAACATCATACTCTTTCACTGTTTCTTCTACTTCACTATGTATAGGAACATCATACTCTTTTAACTTCTCTTTCTCTTTCTCTACAACATTGGTATCTTTATGGCACGGCAGATCCTCTTTTTCGACCATAACAAATTCAGATGCATCGCCCATGTTAGTTTCCTGCAGGACATATTCATCACAACATCAATCTCAATTAAGCAAGCAACTTGTGAAATGTTAAATACTAATCAAACTCAAAAGCACAAAATGATATTTTGAAAGGAAAATGATACGGAGTACAATTTTTATTAAAAGGGTATTAACTTATCAACACTTCTTCAATCTAACCCATTAACCCAATATCATGTACGTCAATGTACCTGCTACCAAACACTTCCATACTATGTTATTCCGACTCTTCATTTCAAGTCAAACATCGGAATCCGGTGCTCAACACTAGGACTTTGGTATGACAATTAGATACTTCATTTTACTCAATCAAAATTCATGAAAAAATTGCTGTAATTTAATACAAACAAATGCATGTTTTACCATATTTTCACCAAAACAAAAAGAAAAGGATAAGATGCCTTAATTTGGTCATCCCAGATGCAGCAACTCAAAGATTAAGGAACAATAATACAACATCAGATTGTTTTTTAAATCAATTCTACATTATTATGATCAAACAATACCAATCAAATTTTTTAAAAATTGTCCTCGGGTCTATAAATTTAAGTCAATTCGCTAATGAAAAACAAAAATTAACCGCGAATAGAGGAATAATACAAGAAATTCAGCATAAAATCAGGTAAAAATCAGAAAAAATTGCCGTTGAATGATCCAAAATGATCTTAAAACTAAAATTCAGCCCCAAAATGAAAAGAAAAAAATTCTGACAAATATATCAACAACATGTAGCCTGATTACAGATTCCAGCTGAATTCCCCAGAATTTAAACTACCAATCATAATCAAATCAAACTCATGTAATAAACAATTGAACAATTAAAATAATCATACAAAAAAATAATCAGCATAAAGTAATTATAACAAAGGATTTATAATTAATTAAAGATCAAAAGAATAAATTTATAAAAAAAAAAAAAAAGTAATCAAACCTTTTGAGCTTCTAGTGTGTTCATTGCTTTCGTTTTTGACTTGTGATTAATAAAGATGAAAATTTAGAGAGGAGATAGAAAGATTTCTAAAAATAGTATTGTAAGAATGGTTTATTTATATATTTTGGGTGAGTAGCATTGTTACAGGGGTTGCACCTATTACAATCTCACAGCTTCATGGGATTGGTCATATTAGGGATAGACACTTTCGTGGCACGTCAAAGACGATGCTGTCACCTAAATTGCGTACATACTGGGTTACTGGAATATGACGTGTTGTAGAATGTTGAAATTTTTTAAGCTTTGCCGAGTGTATTGCGTAGGAAATAAAAAGACGCGGTTGAAGCCTCAACTTGGAGGTTAAGTCATCTTTCCAAGACCCTTATTAGGAGAAAACTAAAAAAGGAGAGTACTGATGTTTGACAAAAGTAATAGATAGAGTACTTGTGTTTGAGAAGTTGCCAAAAGAGTACTCAAATAAGTATTCACCCACTATAACCGGTTACCATTTGTAAATAAATAAATTAATTAAAAAAATAAATTGCTGACACATTTATCAGAAAGTATTAATGTTTGGAGAGCTTCAACATTTTTCTGTTACAAAATAGCCGTTGGAAATCAAACAATTAGCTACTTCCAATATATATAATGCTCCATAATCATCTTCAAGAAGGAGACTCTGCATTAAATTGGGAAAAAAAAAAATTTACAGGAAGCATTTCAAAAATTATAGGAAAAAAAAAAAGAATATTTAATTGATAAAAAAAAAAAAATGTTTGATTGTTTTTTTATTGTGATTAATTGATTAATTAGGGTTTTCATGATATTTTTGGTTGATTGAAGTTTCGAAGGTTAAAATTGCTTTTCGCTTCTAAATTGATTTATGAAGTTTCGGAGGTTGAAATTGTTTTTCGCTTCTAAATTGCTTTATGAAGTTTCGGAGGCCTTTTTTATGCGATAATCAATAAATCATTGAAATCGCTTTCCATTTCAACAACTAAGCTAGGGTATGCTCTTCAGTCTTTGATTGATAGAAGTTTCAGAGGTTTACATGATTAATTCAATTTCAAGCTTTAACCATTACGATCCCGACCTCCCTCCTCCTTCTCCCGCCACGTTTTCGGCCCTCTCCTCTTCCCTTTTCCCTTTTTCGGTCCTTTCCCCTTCCCCTCGGTCCGATTTCGGCCCTTCCTTCCCTTCCCACGCCTCGATCCGACCCCTTTCCCCTTCCTATGCCTTGATTTCGATAAGGGTTGTGGTGATTTAGAGGTGATTCAAGAGGGTAGGGGAAGGGCGGCGACAGGCACAAGGGAGCTGTGGTTTGGGCGTAGGGGTGCTAGCGGCCAGCTTGGGCCGATGGTGGGGTGGAGAGGTGGCTGGGGCTGGGGCTGGGGCTGATGGTGGTTTAGAATTTTTAATTATTATTAATTGCGCCATTGTAAGTAGAAATGATGGGTTTTTCTTTTTCGAGGCAAACAACTCAGCAACTTTTTTTTATAATTAAAAATTGAGTTAACCGTTTGATGAAGATCACACACTGCCGAATTTTTTACCTCCGGCCAAGGTTTCAGTACCTTAATTGCAACTTTCCAAACATGAATACTCTAATTGCAACTTTTCTCAAACATAAGTACCTTGTATTTTACTTTACTCCCCTTATTAGTATACTTCGAGGATAAGTATTATTGTAGAGAACAAGAACCAACCGACTTGATTTGAAATTGACCAGAATAAATCTAAATATGGAATGGGACCACTAATAAAAATTTATTTTTCCACATTTTCTCTCTCCTCACCTACTCCAATCCCACCCCATTTGTTCTTTTCTTTGCAATAAAAAAAATACAAAAGAGAATCTTTTATACAATAAACAAATGTGTTAAATGAGCTCACTTGTAGTTTTCCTAAATTACGTGTTCACCCCCAACATCCCGAGTATTATGGGACGGAAAGAGTATAAGATTTCGAATTTTTTCTTGATTTCATTTTCGTAGATATGTTTTCTCAAACACTTTTGCAAATCAATGATTTGAAATATTAATATCTTCAATTATTAATTAAAAAATGTCTAATTACAAATCATTAAAGGATGTCAAAATAAAATATGTGACTAGTATCAGTCAAAACACGTCAATTAATGCAAAACGAAATAAAATATATAAATAGTTTTATAATGTTAGTCCTATTTACATATATCTATACAATTTTTTTATCGTAAATATCTTTAATCTCACACTAACAAAAATTACATATTAATAAAGTACGCATTGAGACGAATGAAACTAGATATCACATGACTATATTTGTTCTTATATATAGAGAGAAATTTAGAAGATTTCCTCTAATTTTTAATAGTCAAAAGATTTTAAATGGGACTAACATTAAAAAACGAAGGAAGTACTCACTTTTGTTACAAGTAATTTGGTCTTGTTTGTGTAATGATCCTGAAGATTAAAGTAAAACAACATTTTAATTTTATACAATTTAATACTCACTTTTTAAAAAATGATCCGGTTACTATAAGTGGTCGCTTTTTTTAGTACTCCACTTATGAAAAATGACTTTTTAAGTGCTTTGGTCCCGACTTTAAGCGACTTATTGCAAACAACAAAATGTGTTTCCCCACAATAAAGTCCAATGATGAAACTTACGACACCATCTAATTTGGTCTTGGTTGCATAATGAACCTGAAATTTATTTGTACAATCCTTTTGTTCAATCCCATTACCTATATCTCTAAACCATATTAGTCATTTTCTGTGTCTTTTAGCATTTTCATTAGGCAAACCCATTGCTTAGCTATACACAAACACTATTTAAATGCACAAACAAATCATCAAATCATCTAACTTCCCTCTTTAAGTTCTACCTAGAGTGTAGAGACAACGAATGAGCTATACGAGATCAGATGTGGTTGGATCATTAGTGCCCATTTGTGTTATGTGCTGATCATCAGAGATCCGTCTGTCGCATTTTATCTACGACGTAGATTTTTTCAGCTTCTTCGAAAAACAAATCACAGGAAAAAAAACAGCATTGGATAATAAAAATGTACCTCATGGTTGCATCGGCAAACTTACTTTACAATTCGCAAACAATTTTCTGCATAATTTAGTTTGAATTCTTAGTTACTGAAATTCAAACCGTAAAACAAAATCCCTTAGCATTACTACCTATTCATTGGGGAGAGGGTGTACAGTTTAATGCATAACAGCGATTAATATAATGCTACAAAATTTCTTCTAAACTGCAGTACAATGCAATGGCGATAAGTTTGAGTTGTGAACCTATCACATATTTTACTCTTCCAAATCCCAGCCTCCTAACCTTTCACCAGGGTTGTAATTGGTGTAGACTCTGAACTCATTCCCGAGTTTGCTGGAGTGCTCCGGACGGAAACCACAGGGATGCAGTCCCAAGAACTTGGCCGCCCTATCTCTCTGAACCTCTCCTGCACACAAAATGAATACTCAATTGTGTTTCTTATTGAATAAAAAAAGGGGAGCCACATGCACGTGCTGCCAAGCTACTTAAGGCTCAACTCAGTCAAACTCGGTTCAAGAGCTTCACAAGCAAGCTGAACACATCTAAATTTGGCATAAAAATTTACAAGCAATTAAATTAGACTCAAGAATTAGATGCCTAAAAAAAATAAAGCACTTAAATTAGACAAGGAGATTCACGTTGGTAGCCATCAACCCTCTACTTTTGACTAGTATTATTGGTAGCCAATCATTTTCCGGATTGTCATTGATAACCTTAAACTTTTACAATTTGTCACATGTGACATTAGAGATGGTTTGTGGTTAAATTATCAGTTATATCTAACTATCATAAACCAAGGTAGTGATGGGCGGAGGAAGAAAAGAGGGTGGGGGTATGATGGGCGTGACGGTAGTGAGTTCAGTGCAGGAGAGAGGTGGGGGTTTAATGGTGGAAAGGGAAAGTCAAGATTATTAATGGTGGAAAAACTGAGATTTGGGGTGAGACTGTGAGAGGGAGGTGAGGGATTACAAAGAAGGTAAATGATTTAACTCTAGTTAGTGATTTAAAGGAATATTTAACCAATCTCATTCATTAATGCTATATTATGTCAAGATAAAAAATACAAGCCTACCAATGATAATTCGAAGTAAGTTTGGCAACCAATGATAAAAGTCGAAAGCAAAAGGCTACCATTAAAAATTTCCCAACTAGGCATTAAAACAAAGGTGTATAAATTAGATAAAACACGAGTTACAACTTCACAGTAACAATAAAGATATAACTAATATCATATCAATATCTTGTAATCTTTTGTTATTGAATATTTTTGTGTTTTTATTATTAAATCACTTTTTCTTATTAATTTTTTGATAATTATTTAAAAAAATTATATCAACAAATGAATATGGGTGTACAAGTTAATAACTATTAGCACTTTTGTTAGCTATAGAAGTTTCCATCCAGAATGAGGGACCAAAGTGCCACCTTTGAAACTAAAGGGACTAAGTTGCCACTTTGGGCAAAGGTTGGGGGACCTATCTTTATCTCTACTCGCATAAGATTAATAGTAAAATTTAAAATTGCAAGAGCACGTGTTTGGTTGAAGCTTTACTTGAGCTTGAGTAAGGTTGCGATCCAAGCCAAACCTGAAATTTCCAAGCTCGACAAGTTGGACATAGTCAATAGCCTTTAATCTCTGGTCTAAGTTGTTTGGTTAGCCAACTAGCCAAGCTATCCCAAGTCAAAGTAAGTCCAGCTTATTTAGGCCAGCTAGGGTTATTATAAGCCCTGAGTATATCATAGTAGCTAAAGATATGACAACCTATTGATACAATCAAACAAGAAAATAATTTAGCATGCAGAATTCTAACTTGCTATGTTTATTATGGAAAAGTTATATGATACTTTTCTTGTTTTAGCATCAAAGCACATTCATGATATCTTCAGTTCAACAATTGAAAGTATACAGTGGTGAGGCCTAAGGAATCAAATAATTTAGTACAAACAGAAAATCTTCAAATAAAAGCTATAAGATTAGTTGTTGATCCCCAACAGAATTATTTGCGAAGGAGATTCAGTACTTTCACAATAAGGGTATGCAACATAAACCAAACAATCAGAATAACAGAATAGACCAAGTAAAATAGATTACTAATATGCAAATTGTGGTCACATAATAAGTAACATGTGGAGAAGCTTACCAGTGAGCAGGAGCAAGAAATTTTTCTCAGGTTTAGCAAGAAATGGTATTGTTTGAGCAACTTTCTTCAAGCATTCCTCACTCTTCCTCGAAGAAAGAGAAAATAAAGCAGATGTAAGCAGAATGTGAATGCACTAAGACATCAACTTTATAGCATATGGAACATTTTTCCACCTTGACACGAAAATATGCCCTACTTTACTTTCTATTAAATAATGGCAACCCAAAATCTGTGATGTTTGATTATTGATATAGTGTTCTCTTCTCCTAAATTACACTTATTTTATTAGCCTTGAACTCAACTTAATTGAACTTAAAATCCCTTATATTATCTTATATATATTACTTTAAATTATTAGTGGACCTTATTAGACCTTATAGGAACTTATTAACCCAAACAATTTTTTTATTTTATTTATTTATTTATTATTTTGTTTGTTTGTTTGCACTTATCAACCCTCATCTTAACTTTACTGCAGTTATCAACCCTTACCTTATTTTTATCTTATTAGCACTTATCTCATTTAAACTTATTAGACCTAAAATAAGTTTCAATATGGTGAGGATAATATAGCCTCATTTCTTAGGAGTATTAAGCTATTAACAGATGAGAATGCTGTAGAGGATAAATAATAGGTAGTGGTGGACTGGTGGTTATCCATAAATTAGCAGAATAATAAAAATTCCAAATTGCATAACAGCTTTCATACCCTAGACTAGTGCCAGCAATGTATCTTAAACCCACACAGGAATTGAGTTAAATTAGCTGATTGAAGAAAAATGCAATGTGAGAGAAAAACATACTTCATCTTGTTTTTAAATATGGTAACGTTTACACTTTTAACACTATTCAGATAAAACTCTTTAATTACATAATTCATGTGTAAGGAAAGAATGAAAGATATAGTCATGTGGGTCTTGTTAGATTTATTTAGATGTATGCTTTCACAATATCAACTTTTTATAATTTTATCGTTAAATAAAAAAATATTTAAGGTTGAATTGTGCTTAGGAAGTGCAATTCCCCTCCAGGTTGCCATATCAAAGGAACAAAGGAAGTATAATTTAGTCGAAGTTTTAGCAACTTAATCCTTACCAAATAAGGAGGATCTGCAACTATAATCTGGTAAGTGTGCTTCATTTTTTGTGGCAAATCTTCTGGTAGGTTGTAATCGTAGAATGTAAAATCATTTCCATATTGCTCAAAACGAGTGTCATATTCCAGAAGTTGCACAGACATAGTTGGATACAATCTCTGAAATTTAAACAGTAATACATTGAGAAATTACAACTAGATGAAGAGGCAAAAATAAGTGGAACACACGGCAATAAATCATCTTAGCACCACCATACAACAAACAAGGACATGTAATAAAAAAAAATGAAAAAAAAAAAAAAAAAAAAAAAAAAAAAAAAAAAAAAACCCTCAAACAATGTATTAGTGAAGGATTTAAGTTCCTTGGATACATCTCAAAGACAACTACTAAGAAAATCCATATGTGAGACACTCAAGAGGGATTTTATAATGTAGACTGTAAAGGCAGCAGCCAAAAAAATAATTTCCAGAGCAAAACAATAGCAAAATCATGTTTGAGAAAAAAAACTTTCACTTAGTCTATTTTCTTATTGCTTGTAATTCAAGTAGACATTAAGCACAGAAGGGAAACTATTAACATGACAAGTTGACAACCAACTAATATAAAACCTGAAACAGCAAATAGTCTTGGTTTCTATGGCTTCAAATTCAGGAGGCAGGAAGTGGAAGACATCGTAATTCATAAATCTGCATTCAAAATCCATAGAAAGAGTTGCATTAAACCTCTATTGCTCTTGCTCCCAGTCAATGAGGGAGATAAAGCACTCAGAAACTTCGGTATACTAAGCCCTTTTATATAGAGTCCTAGTTACTACAGTTTACAACATATAAGATACAATACCTTTCTGGTTGTTATGAGAAAATCCTATGTCACACTTTGCTGCATCAATTTCTCTAATTTTATACAAAAATGAAAACTTCCATGGAGAGGAGCTTTCAACCACTGAATATGAACATGAGTGAAAAGACTAAAGAACGACATGGAAAGTAACAAAGGTCTGATTTGAGTAAAAGAAAACCATGATTAGCAAATAACAAGGCAAGAAAGCAATACTAGCAGAAGAGTTCTGATACAGGGTACTGTAGAAATCATGCTTAAAAAACAAACAAATAATTAGCGAAAATAAATACTCCGTAAGAAACACTGAATCAGGACCTCTAGAAAACTTCTGAAATCTAGGATAGCTGGATTCATCTTTAAACCTTTCCTGGTCCAAAAAACAAATTCATGACCAACAATCCCTAATCACCAAACTATCATCTCCTGTTACACTAGCATGTTAACTGCCTACCTCTCGGCTCCACGTCAACCAATTTCACCCCATACCTAAGGCATATGATCCACTTATGAATTGTATCAACCAACATTTTGGATTGATTCACATTTCTGAATTCAAAACACGAAAGTCCAACCTCAGCATAAGCCTTAAGGGCAGCTAAATAGCACTTCAAACAAAATGTTTAGATAATCCTCCCATAATTCTTCATACCCCTAACTAATCCATTCGCACACAAAATTCATCAAACCCTTGTCATTACTCATTAGGGGTGAACTAGCATCAACACGAGCATTACCACTATTTATTATCACCTACCAAACGGGCCGTAACCGTAAGAGTATGAAATTCCCAATCTCATATTTTATTATTACAGCACAAAACACAAACAATTCATACAAAATTACACAAAATGCATCATAATCAAGACATTTCAAACAAATAAAAAAACAAAAAAAAAAAAAAAAAAAAAAAACAGAAATCAAACAGTAATAATAAATAGAAAAATAATGGGGGTATACAAATTGAGTACCTTAAGATAAATAAATAAAGTGGGGCAAGAAATGCAAGCAACAGAAGGAAGAACATCAGGCTCCTCACTACTCAATTGTGAGAAGAGAGTGAAAACTTCAGAAGCAACAGTAATGGCGGTTTGAGGGGAGTACCAAAATTGACTCAACCGCCAATCTTCCGACAACAATGGCAATTCAATTTCACCATTATTTTCTTCTGGGTTTTCTTCAAATGTTTTAGAAATCGATTGTGAAGCTAAAAACTCTTTGAGTGCATCCAAAGCGAAGGGACTAAGGGTTGGTGAATCGTCATCTTCTTCTTGTTGATTTTTGTGGGTTTCAGATTGAATTTTGGGGAGAATTTCATGGGTTTGAGTTGAATCCATGTTTATTTGTGGGAAGTAGAAGAGTGAGGAAAGCAGAGATATGAATGAAATTTTGGGCAACGTTTATTTTGGAGAACAGATTGTGGCGGCTGGCTATTCGGATCTGTGGGTTTAGTTTGAGTTTGGGTCACTTTCAACATGATTCTAGTGAGTCTATGAATTAATCACTCTATTTCCCATTAGAGTACCAATTAGGTGTTGGTGCAGCGGTCATTGGGGCTGCATTTGTTAATAAACATCGCATTTATTACCCCCGTAACAACAATTGAGAGGTGACTGGAAATTAATCACAAATAATTGAGTCTCGAATTCGAATTAACCTAAATGGTGAAATGGGTGGGAACACAAAAAAATAAAATAAAATAAATTCGCATTAAAGTTATATTCTCTTCACATTATTTTTTAGGAAATTTTGCATAAAACCACCTTTTTAATCTTGTTTTTTTGCAATTAACTACCTTATAAAAAAAAATATTGCAAAAAGGCCACCACTTTTTTAAAAAAAAATGTTGCAACTTAACACCTAATGCCAGAAAGTGACTATTTGACCAGCTGCTCCGGCATTTACCCGGGCATGTGACATTAATTAATCCCTAACCCCCCCCCCTTTTCTTTTTTCTTTCCTTTTCTCTCTCGATTTCCCTCTTCTCCTCCCCTGGTTCCTCTTTCTTTTTCTTTCTTCCTCGCATTTAATCTTCTCGACAATGGCTGAGCATGTTGCAGAGTAGACTTAACAAGCGATTTATTGCATTAGGTTGAAATAGTTTCTCGGTAATTCAAATAAGGTAAAAAAAAAATTGATTTTTCATCTACTATTTTCACTAGGTCTCCAATTTTCGCCCAATTATATCATCTTCTCTGAATTTTTCTCTGAACAATTGTGTTGTCATCAATGGTTAAAGGTACAAGAGGCAAACCAAGGCTCAATTTGAGGGGGGACCAGATGGGAGATTGAGACATTCGACCTAGGAGTACAAATTTAAGAAAGAAATTAACAAACCCTAATTTCTATAATTTGCAAAAACAAATTGAATTCAATTAAACGAATTTAATTACCAGAGAAGAGACGAAGAAGAAGATGAACAGAGAATAAAGAGAAAGAGGAAAAAAAAAACAAACAAACTTACTTGAATTGTTAAGAAGCGGCAACAATCTACAATGGAGGAGGAACAGAGATGCGAGGAAGAAAGAGGAACAGAGAAGAGAAAGAAAGAGGAAAGAGGAACAGGGGAGAAAGTGGGAAATCGAAGGAGAAAAAGAAAAAGAAAAAAAAGGGGGGGAGGGGGGGCTCATTAAATTTCATGTGTCACGCACGTGACTGGGTCAATGCAGGAGTAGTTGGTCAATTTTCCACTTTCCGGCAATAGGTGGTAAGTTACAACATATTTTTAAATAATGGTGGTCTTTTTTACAACAATTTTTTATTTTTAATAAAGTGGTTATTTGCAAAAAACAGGATTAAAAATGTGGTTAAATGAAAATTTTCCTATTTTTCATGAATTGAAATTATATTTCTTGATTTATACTATATTTGTTGTTTAAAAGAACTAACTTTGACTAATTAAAACCTATTTTTGTTTAACTTAAATTGTTTTTAATAAACTTAAAATATTTTTATTGATTTCATATTTTATAAACATGTTCTTTAAAGTTATTGAATTATATGGATTAAAACTTATTTTTGATGTATTAATTATCTTTTTTTTTTACTGAAATTAACTTATTTTTGTTGAGCTGGACTTATTTTAACTGGATAATATTGTATTAATTAAAGGTGAAGAGAACAAGGCTAATGATTATATATATATATATAATTCACACTTTGGTCTTTATCCATATATTTTTCCTAGTTTTGTGCAATGTTTTATGGTGTGGTTAATCCAAAACGAAAGAAGTGAGGATGTGTTCTTTTCACCTTATATTTGCTAAATTAAAATTATTTTTAATGAACTAAATTTTTTTTGCTGAACTTTAAATTTTTTTTTTTACTGAATTGAAATTGTTTTTTATTGAATGAAAAGTTAGGTTTATGCTATTTGCCTTATTTTTACTAGTTCGATTTGCATGCATTGTATGTATTATATTTTAAAATTAATCCAATATCACAAAATAACCCCAATTTGTTTGGCATTGTTTTTGTTTTCAGTTTTCTATTTTTTTTAAGATAAAAAAACAAAAACACGAAACAAGAAAAAAATGTTTTCGCTTTTCTGTTGTCAGTTTTCAAAATTATCATGATTTTAATAAGTTTGTCTAATTTTTGTTTCATTACATGACATAAATCATATGAGTTTGAAAAACAAAAACAAAAACAGAAAACCAAAGCGATGCCAAACGAACCCACGAATCAAACAAATACGAGCACAAAGTTATAGTTTGTCTAATGTGTGTCCATGGGAATATGCAATGTTAGCAATTTTATGTCCAATAACTAGAACATCAAGATAACTGTTATCAATTACAATTTGTCAAGGCACGTATACTTAGAGGTTTATACAATCGAGTAAATGTTATGCATCTAGCTAATGACCCCAAGAAAACCAAAGAAAAACCCCACAAATTTTTCTTCCAATGGTTTTTTTTGGCAAGACTACACAGTTGTACACAATGCACCTGCGATACAAAAAACCACATCTTGTTTTTCATTGGAGGGTGCTAACGATTTCCTATTTCGTGTTCTGATGATAAAACACATATTTTGATCAGTTCAGCGCCTTGATACAGTCTTCATTCCCATCTAAAACATTGGCGAGCGATTCATCATCAAAAGCATATTTATCAGAAAAATAAGCAAGCAACTGGTGGCTTCCTTCCTCTGATATAATACCCTTGTCCTTGAGTAAGGATACAAATTCACGTGATCGGTCCACATCTCCTTCATCTTTCAAGTACTTTAGGCAGGTCACTGTGTTTTCCTTGTTAAGCTTCCAATTTGATCCAGCCTTAAATTTCAGGAGAGCATACTGCATTGTTTCCACTGCCTTTTGCATCTGATTCCTCTGGAAATAACCTAATGACATCCAAAACAATGTTGCTGCATTAGGTTTTTCCCAATTTTCCAAATTCACATTTTCTATTAAGGCTTCAGCCTTCTCAACTAGACCGTTTCTGCAGTAAAAGCTGATCAAGAGATTTGGAATACGAATATCTTTGTTAAGATCACTGGCTTTCCATTCCTTGAAAATATTTTCAGCGGCTTCAATGTCATCAAACTTCAATATTGAGCTCAGGATGCAGATATAGTCTCTGTTGTAAACCATCAATTTTTCGCATTCATTCCACGTTCTTAGCACGTCTTCCTTATTTCCAGCTGTTGCATAAAGAGTAAGGAGATATGAAAAAGCCTTATTCTTGTTCTTTTCTAGAAGTATCAACTTTTCTGATTTTCTAAGTGACTCCAAAGCCTTGTCTGCATATCCTGCTCTAAGAAATTGATTTGCAGCATCAGCATATGTTTGCCAACAAATATTGGACTCTGTATCAGATTCTATTCTTGTCAGAACTTTCTCAATTTCTTCAACATCGGAATTAGCTCCAGAATTATTCAGTAGGATGCGATAAGTGACTTTATCAAATTTTATATGTTTGGACTCCATTTCAAAAATCAAGGCATCTGCTTTCTTGTGGTTTCCTGTTTGGTAGTAAAGGCTCAACATAACATTGTAATTCACAATACTTACAGCAGATCCAAATTCCCTCATCTTATGCATGATAGCATCTGCTTTATCCACACATTTTAAATGTGCATAGCAGTTGAGAAGTGCACCATAAACTTCAACTGTCCTCATCTGCTTTGGAGTATTATTAAAGTAATACTCTGCTGCTTCAATTCCATGGACCTTTGCAATCAAATCTAGACGAATAGCAACATCACCAACTAAGAGATCCATGTATCTTTTGTCACTCATCCATTTGGATACCTATTAAATAGAAGAAATAACATTGAAGAAATAAGCAAGGCCGCTGTTTTGCATAATAAGAAACACAAAAGAGCTAATGTTTTATTGAATGTCAATTTATAAGAGGTCCTGAATCTCACTATTTAAATCTTACACAATAACCACATCTGCACATCAGAACTGAAAAAGCTATTATTATCACAAATTCTTTGTACAAGTACAGAAGCATGTCCACATTAACATGTATGTTACCATCGCTTTACATATACATTTCCATTGATTCGAGCTCTGACTTGTATCAGACTTATAAAAACAATATACTTAAAAGTTAAAACTGTCTAGATCCAAATGTTACCTGAATTAGATGAAAATGTTCTAATCCAAAGTGCTTTATGATCTAAAGACCTTCATAAAGGTGTTTATACCATTTAGCAGAAATACACTGCCTATTTCGGCAACAGCAGAAAATAAGTCTAATATTAATTAATCAAGTCTAATGATCTGATTAAAAATCAATGGGCTTGCATAAAAAAAGAAGGCAATCCATCTTTGTTTCCTTAGAGCTCGGTGAAATGAGTTTGAGAAGGCAATCCATCTTCGTTTATATTTTTCCCCAATACACCTACACCATATATGGTTTTATATTTATGTTTAATGTGACATTTCAAATGTAGATTTATTTAAAAAAAAAAAAAACAAAAAACACTTGTCAGGCTTATTTGCTCCAGTTATGTGGGTGAACTAAAATCTGACAATAAAAAATTATGTATCACTAAATTCATACAGTGCAGAATGCTTGCTTTGCCCCCACCCACCCCCCCACCCCCAAAAAAAAAAAAAAAAAAAAAAAAAAAAAAGGGCATTCAGATTAGGAATCAAACAAGAAACAACCCTACTTAAAATTATGTACAGTTATGGACAAATTATCTAGAAGATATAAAATTACAAGCAATGAGGTAAGTTACTACTTATAACAGTTGCAACTTGCAAGAATGCAATATCTTTTTTAATTAAGTACAGAAAACTGGAGAGCAGTTCTACCCAGGTTACACTTTCAGAATGAGGTTTGAGATTGGATGATCCGTGATGCTAAGTAACACAGCAATCACTTAGCACTACCCTCTTGATATACTACCTCATTAAATTTGTATCTCCTTCCTCTTTCTCTAGTGCTTACCTCTCTTGACAGTTGACACATTATCCACCTATCAAGGTAAAGATCGCTCCTCTAAG